TGCCCAGCCGCAGTTCGGGGCTCTCCACAAAGTCGTCCTGACCCCTCAGCCCACATGCTCGCTCTTGCCTTCCTGTACAGTGCAGTCACCATTCAGCACACTACAGTGGCTTTCGGCATATTCTTTCTCTCTCTAAAAGAACTCGGAGAACAGGGATCAAGAGCAGTAATTCTTTTAAGTCCCTCAGAGTTGATTGTTTTTTAATTAAAAATTTTGTATTAGTATCTGCTTGCAGTATATGCTGAGTCCGCTCACAATGGGAAGCTGCTACACTGCCATAACCACCTTAATTCTTTTGACTTTCTCCCTCTGCTCCCCGTCACCTGACTGAATGCCATCTAATGACACTGGGTCACTTTAGGCGAAGGACCCAATGGGCCCTGTTCAAGGACAAACTAAAAGGAAAACAGGAGTAGCATCTATTGCAAACCAGTTTTTGGCAAGGCAACTGCCTCTGAGACCTTCAGTATTAACCTACTGGCCTGAGCCACAGTGCAGGCTGCCACACGGCACTGGATGGAAGGCAAGCACTAAAAACATGACCATGCATTGCTTCCTAGCACCACAGAAGGCCCTCCCTGCAGCACAACCGTCATGCCAGCCTCCAAGATGGTTTCCCTGCACCTATGCTCTAATTGAGTAGGACAATCAGGTCTGTGACACTGCCAGTCAGATCGTGTCCCTTCCCTCTCAAAATCCTGTGATCATGGATGGGCTGAGTTTCAGCAGGAAACGGATGGCATAAAGTGGGTGAACTGAGGAAGTCTATATGGGGACTATTTACAACAACGGTGTGGGCAGGTGTGGGGAACCCACAAAGGAGAGTCCAGCCCCGGAGCTGGGAATGCAGAGGCACCAGATCCCCTCCTAAACTGCAAGGTGTGGAGGGAAGGAGTGGAGAGGGAGACAGGAGCTCCACGGAGCAGGCGTCTCACAGGCAGTGGCCTTCCGTCCACGCAGACTCCAGCTGCACAACCCCGCAGGAGGGAGGAAACACACTGATCTCATCCCTCACCTCCTCACCTCCTGGCGGTCCTTGCACAGCCAAGTTCAATGAGCAGCACTAGCCAGGGGGCCTGTCAGCACAGGGCCACCTCCTGGGGCAGATATACACAGCACCTCTGGCCAATGGGTGGCTTCCTCTCTCCGTGAGGGCCTTTCAATGTATCGTGCAGCCTGAAAGGCCGTACACAAGCCCATCTCATCTCCTGTTCTGCTCGGTAACCCTCTAGTCACCAAGCACACTCCTGCCTCAGACCCTCGGCCTCGCTGCCTTCTCTGCCCAGAATACTCTCCCATCGCACCTAGGTACGACCTGCTTCGTCAAGTACCTCAGGTCTCAATCAAGTGTAACATCCTCAGTTTTCCTTACTCCCATTCCTGCAGCACCCTATCCCTTTATCCTGCTTTACTGTTCTCCACAGCATGTCTCTCTCTCTGTCTGTCTCTCTCTTCCCCTTCCTCTCTTTTTGTGCTGCTGTAGATTGAACCCAGGGGCTTGGACAAGCTGAATACTCTGATCACCTAGCTACATCCCATCCCTGATACCTTTTTTCTTTTTTAACTGAGTGCCTCCCTGGCCTGGAACAAGTTTCCTAAAAACATCAAATCCATCTCCTTTGTTCCTTGACTGATGATGAGTACCTAGAACGGTGCCAAGAACATTAAAGTCACTCAAGTATTTGTGGAATGAATGAATGAACAGAAGGACCACAGCAAACTGTCCTTTGCACTGTTTATAAGTCTTAACTCCTACTATCAAAAAGTCTCACAAAGTCCCCAATAATCAAGTAGGAACTGAGCATTTGTTTTTTATTGCAACGGCACAAAACTAAGTAATTAGTAAATCACCATGAGTAAACAGAAGTTCTGATCAAGACCAAAAAGATAATTGGGTTGGTGGTGCACACCTGTAATCCCAGTACTCTGAAACTCTGAGGCAGGAAGACTGCAAATTCATGCCCAGGCCAGGCAACAAAGCAAGACTCTGTCAAAATAAAAATTTTAAAAAGGACTGTAAATGTAACTCAGTGTGAAGGGATGGGTTCAGTCTCCAGCGCCCAAAATACAAAAACAAACAAAAAAGCCCAGTATTTTCTGTAAACAACTCTTCTTCACAAGCTGTTCTTTTTTATAATTATTACTCATTAATTTTATTGGTATATTTCAGGTATACAATATGACAATCATCATTGGGAATTTGTGCCTTTACACAATGCATCTTGTTGTCCCCCCGCATTCCCCTGCCCTCCCTTCAACCCCTCCAACCCTCCCTATTTACAAAGCGTTTGTTTCCTTTTTTTCCCTTTTCGTATATTTATTCCTTTCCCTTCTTTCCTTTTCCCTAACCCTTCCACTTTCCCCTTTGGACCTTTTCTTCCTATTTCACATTATCTTATATATTTTGATCCTTATTTACACTTTCAGTTTACAAGCTGATATTTCTGATCAATGCAGATCACTACCCCACCAAGTACTTCTCTAAATCTTAGTCTTCTCATATTTAAAATGGGCAGGACTAACAGATACAATGGTTTTGTTCTGAGACAGTTTATAACTATACAGTTCAGGCTGGCCTTCAATTCACTTGTCCACAGTAGGTTTAAACTTATGGGCACCCTCCTGCATTGGCCTCCTCAGGGCTGGGATTACAGGAGTGTAACACCACCCCTGGCTGACTGACAGACAATGTATAGAGGGCATTTAGCACAGTTCTGGGACTAAATGATTGGTTACTACAATAATTATTAAAACACTGAGGTGGCCACAATATTTTCCCACTAACTGCAGCAGTTCATCCTGGACTTTTAAAAAGTGAGAAAAAAATGTGAGATGATGAAAAGATGGAAATAAAGTGTTTGTAGATGGGGAGGGGAGGAAGAGGTGAAGGGAGGGCAGGGACAAGGGGAAAAAATGAGAACCAAGACCTGTCATGTAAATGTACAGGATCCCAACAATGAATGTAACTGTACTGTATGCCTAAAATGTACCAATAAACTCAATTAAAGCTGAAAAAAATAAAAAATAAAAAGTGAACTGCAATAACACTGTAAGGACATAGGATACTGTACTTTCTGTCATATCAATTGGGCTCATTTCTGAAAGATGCTGTGTAACAACATATCAGGACCTAGCATCTTCTCGCGTTAACCTGATTTATCCCTCTTCAGATCAGAATGCAGTATCCATTTTGTATTGCTCATTATTCCTACTCAGAATATAAGCGCTGATGTTTTTCAACTAGGCAAGCAGGAACTTAAGTAGCCTTCTTTAAAAAAAAAAATTAAAGAGCGGGGATTTAGCTCAGTGGTTTGGTGGCCTGCCCTGCAAGCACAAGGACCCGAGTTCAATCCTCGGTACCAAAAAAAAAATTTTTCTTTTTAATTAAAAAGCAATATACATAAAGGGGAAAGAGTTGATCAGAAAAGCTTCTGAAAACAGATTTACTTTTTATTTGCCTCTCTTAACCATGAATATCTGAGGCAAGAGGATCATAAGTTTAGGCCCAACCCAGGCAACGTAAGTAACTTGGTGATCCCGTCTCAAAATAAAAATTCAAAAGGGCTGGTGGTGTAGCTCAGTGTGAAGGGCCTGGGTTCAATCCCTGGTTACATTTACAGACCAATTCTAATCCCCTTTTCTCCCCTGTCATTCTAGCCAGACCCCTATCTGCTAGGTCAGTGCAAGAAGCTACAAGAAAGGTAATTCCAGGGGCTGGGCTAAGGGGTAACCCCAAAGCCAAAGGCCAGAACAAAGGAAAAGAGTCTGACCTGGATCAATTCAACAGTCCATCATTTGGGAACACTGCAAAGATCCTGTAAGATTTTCACTGATAGCAGATTTTTTTTTTTTTTTTTTTTTTTTTTTGCAAATTTTGCCAAAGACTTCTTCTGTAGGACACACTGGTGAGTTAACTAACCTGAAGACCTCTATTTAAAATGTAAGGGTTTCCATAAAACATACATCTCCAGTTAAAATACTCCTTGTGCTCCTATGTATATGACCATATATTCAAGTCCTTTTGTTATAAATTCACATTTACAGCTATAACTATAATAATTACTGCTATTATTTGTGCTTCTAGCTTCAGGTATGAAAGACAAAGCAGGTCCTTCCAAGGTTAAGCCTGGAGACTGATCTTACTAAGAGATCTTATTTTATAAGCAGCTGGATGCTTAATAGTGCTAAAAAGAATCATCCCGACCACTTCTCCTAGTAACAGATGGATAAACAACTCTACAACTAACTTGAGAACAATTCCAATTGAGGAATGCAAAGAAAAATGAAACTACAATTCACTATTCATTGCCTCAAATATTTCACAATGATAAGTTGGACCCTACCTCCAGGCCTTAGTGAATGACAAGTAGTTCAAAATTCATACTTTAAATTTAGCATTTCCCAAACCGCATTCTTTTCCTGCCTGTCTTCCTCTTCAACCAGACTCCTGATCAGGGACTGTTTTCTGTTTGTATTTCCAGCCTTTACTATTGCGTCCAACCCAGAGCTGGTCCCAAATGATTATGAACACGCCCATCACGAGCAGGCCCCAATCTAGCACTGTAGGTCAGAAGTTAAACTGATTATGAAATGGCATAGAACGGCCTGACTCTTGTGTCCCCTCTGTCCTCGATACAGAGCAGGGTGGGTAAAGCACAGCCTCCATCCCGGAACCTCGAAACGTCCTGGTAGAATGAAGCGGGCTGTCTGATCCGCCCGGGCTCTGTGGGCTCCAGGCACAGGACACGATTCTCTACTGAAGCCGAGCGCACCAGGGTACTGGCCCCTCTGCCAAGCTCAACCTGACCACGACCCCTCCCAATCCTCCCCACAAACTCTCCACTCGGAAGCCCCAGCCTGGGCGCCAAGCGCGCCGGCGGCACCGCGGTGCACTATGGGAGTAGTAGTTCCCCGGTGAGCTCCGCACCGCGCGGCCCCGAGGCCGAGACTCCCGCTCCCAGAAGCCCCCGCAGGCGCCTCGCCCAGTCCTGCCACCTCACCTGTTCTATGGACGTGACTGTTTCCACCGAGTCGTCTTGCAACCGCTCCCGCGCGTGTTCGGGCCTCAGACTGTGCAGCGTTTCTGGCCAGACAGGGGAGGAGGACTGAGGGCAATAGTAGGTGAAAGAACTCGGAGAAGCCATGATCCGAGGAGCAGCGAGCGGTATATGGGATTCAGCTTCGTCCAGCAACAACGCGCATTGAAACTCGAGCGGGCTAAGGAGCTACGGAAACTGGGTAGAGTCAAAAAGAATTTGAACGCGAATCTCTCCTCCCACCTACACTTCTTTAGAGAGTGAGTTACTGGTTTGTTGCCGCCCCCCGTTGGGCAGACGTGCTGCTGCAAGAGCTCAGCTTCCTGGAACGCAAGGAAGGGTGCGTGCACCTAAATTTCATTTATGAGAGCCGGCGTGGGGATGTCTCTGTTCGTTATGCAAATTACACACACACACACCCCAGTATTCTGCTAATTCTCACTTGATTGTAATGCAGTAGTTTGTAGGTTCAGGTGCGCAAGGACCCAGTGAGTGTAACTTTTGATACCTTAGCCATGCTCTTTCTAATAGAATTTTTACAAAAAAAAAAGTGCTTGCGTTCCAGGAAGCTGAGCTCTTGCACCGTCCTCCGCAGTGGGACCCAAAAGATGTTAAATGGAGCCAGGCAAGCATCTCCTGAATGATAATGTCCATTCATTAAGCACTTCCTGTGTATCAGCTATGTGCTAGGCACTGACCTAAGTGCTAAGGAGACAGTGGTGAACAAGCCAGTCTCTGCCCCTGTCGGTCTCATTTGCCAGAAGAAACAGACTTCAGATAATATTTTAGGATTAGCTATTTCCTTACAGTTGAAGGAAATAACATGAGGCAGAGAGAAGCACAAGGTGCTGCAAGATTGAATGACAAGGGAGACATTAAGGTAGTCTGAAAGATCTGGAAAGACTCTGATGAGGAAACAAATTAACTACTCCAGGCGAGGAAATAATAGCCAGGTGGAGGAAACCCACCGACAACCAAAAACCTAGTGAAACCAGTAGCAAAATACAGAAGTCTGTACCCTTCATAAGCATCAAGGAGATTGTTCAGCCTTGGGTCGGCAATGGCCTTCCAGTTGTCCTTCCTCTGGAGGATTTCATTAAACAACTCATACAAGAAGTAGAATGAACGTCAATATTGGTGATGCTTGGGAGAACGTTGTTCTTACTAGGGAGGGGAAGTCTTAGTAATGATAATTAATAGCAGCTCCAGCTTGTACAGCAGATGGCTTGGGTTTTTTTTTTTTTACTCAAATGCCTGATACTATTTTTCTAAATTAAACTGTGAATCGTATTCCTTAAAAAATAATATAAAATGTGGACAGTATTAGTTTGTACTTCCAAAAGCAGGAAAACCTTAATGGTCTAAATGAACCACTAGAGGTCGCTTCTGACCCTATAGAAAGTGCAGGGAGTAGGTTCTAAAACCTCTGTGGAAACTGTTCTCTCCATGGCTTAGAGATACGCAGAATGAAAGGTTTCTTTTTAATTAATATTTTGTAAAACTATGTAGTAATGCAATTGGAACATTTGGAAATGGAAGGAGCTCATTTATTATCCATCCGGGTGATTAGTCACCCTATCTACTCTCATGTCATCATCTGTGCCCACCTATTCTGAGGTCCTTGTCCTTGTTCCTCCCTAGGTCCCAGCTCCTGCCTAGGCTCAGCCCCTCCGGCTCACCTAATGCCCCAACCAAAGACCGACTATACTGATTCTCCCTTGCTTCTCCTCCAACATTAAATTTTCTCTCTCTATCTGGTCATACCCATCCCTGCAAACATGCTATTTCCCCATGGGAGGGATTTTTCTTTTAGGAGGATGAAATCTCACTTTGTTACCTGGGCTGGCCTCAAATTCCTAGGCTCAAGTGATCTTCCTGCTTCTGCCTCTGGAGTAGGTCAGCACTGCCTGTAGGCATGCGTGTGTGTGTATTGAGGGTCAGGGGTGCATGCTACTCTCAATTCCACTCCTCCAGCTACTTCCGTGTTACTCACTTTTGCAAAGCAAAAGTCTGTGAAGGCATCATCCCTGCCAATGTCTCCAGGTCCTCTCCACCAGCTCTCTTTTGAACCCGTGTAAACCTGGCTTCCCGATCAGGTCAAGTTCATTAAGCTCCTATTGTTAAATCCAAAGCCCATTCTCAGCCCTCATCTCACAGCTTCCTGCTTGACTTCCCAGCAGCACTTGCATGGCCATTTGCTCCCTCTTGAACCCTTTGCTGTTCTTGCAGGGCCTGGCACTGGCTTTCCTCTGCTGCTTCGCTGTGGGAACGTCAAGGGATTCGGTGCTCAGCTGTCTTCTCTGTCCACACTCACGGGCCTGTGAGCGCAGGCAGTCCCGGTCTTTTAAGTATTATCAGTCATATTTAGGGAGAAAACTCCTGAGTTGGGATCTCCAGACTGCAGTGTGCATAGCTCATGCCTATTTTCATTTCCATTTGGATCACTGATAGGCATCTCAAACTTAACATATCTACTTCAGAGCTGCCGGCTTCCCTTTAACCCTGCACACTTAAGTCTTCCCTGTCTCAGTTGTGGTAACCCTATTCTTATAGTTACAACAAATACTGTATCTTGTAGTGATTTTAATTTAAAAATTTTTAAATTTTCTCTTCTTTTTCTTTTGCAGTTCTGGGGAATCAAACCCATGGCCTCATTCATAATAGCCAAGTGCTCTATTACTGTGCTATATCCCCAGCTCAGTAATAATTTTTAAATGATTACATTAGAATTTAGAATTTTTTTTGAAACAGGGTCCTGCTATATAGTTCAAGCTGGCCTTGAACTTACTATGTAGCCAAGGCTGGCCTTGAACTCATGGCAATCCTCCTGCCTCAGCCTCCCAAGCACTGAGATTACAGGTATGCACTACCACAGCCAGCAGAATTCATAAATTGTGAGATTCTATTTCTGTTCATATTTCTGGTAGCACACAAAAGAAAATATTGTTCCTAATAAAAAATCATTTTCTAAATATAATTTTATAGCACAGAGAACAACTATGTGTGTTTTTCAGATCTCAATAAATTACCAACTTATCAATAAATTACCAAGTTATCAGTAAATTACCAACTTAACATACCTGCATCATTTTATTCTGTTATGTTCATGTGAAATAAATCACATTATACGTCACTAGTCATTACACACTGGTACTGAAATTTGTACAAAAGTATTCCCTCTCAGTCCTATTTTGGGTTTATGATAGTAAAAACTACTTCACCAGCAAATGAAAGAAAACTGGAGCCAGCTAAATAACATTGTTGACATTGAAAAACCTGGGAAGAGGCCGGAGGTGTGGCTCAGTGCCAGAGTGCTTGCCTGGCATGCAAGAGCCCTGGGATCCATCCCCCGCACCACAGAACAGACCACAAACACACAAACCAACCCTGAGAATGGCTTTTCAAGCTGTTTTGGCATTGCCGAAAGTGTACACTGAAGACCATACAGGTGACTCTGAAGCCTGGCTGTGCTTCGGGATCACAGAGACCCTTGAAAGATGACATTAGCAGGCACCAGCTCAACCTGGGGCATCAGGATCTCCAGGCTGGGGCCCAGGCACGTGCACATTTTTTTAATTTTTATTTGTTTGATACCGGGGATTGAACTCGGGACCTTGAGCTTCCAAGGCAGGCAGCAGAACCACTGAGTTAAATCCCCAGCCCTCGCGCACATTTTTAAAGTTCCACAAGTGATGCTGAGCACAGAGCTGAGACCCACGTGAAGCTTCTTTATATGACGCAGAAACGCTGTCCACCAGAGTCCCGGTCCCTTCCACTGGGGAGAGTAGCAGGCGGGGAGAGACAGCCCTGTAGCCTCCTTGCACTTAGCCCATTGGAACCCAGAAGGAAGACACCCACTGCAGCAGGCTAGCGCTTAAGTGTCTTCTTTCTATTCAGTGCTCTATTCCGTCTCACCCTCTGCCAGCTTCATGCCAAGGCCTAGGGCAGCCTCTCTCTCCATGCCTCAAAATGTCTAAAATCTCCATTAACAAAAAGGCCCTTTGGTGTTTTACACCACTGGAAGAATGCTAACCCTTTGCAGACTCCAAATTATGTTGTAGGCAAATAGCGTGATCTCTTTCAAATGTATTAACGCTCCGTTCAAACAGCCTTTCTGGGGCCGGAGATTTAGCTCAGCGGTTCAGTGGCCGGCCTCGCAAGCGCGAGGACCCAAGTTCAATCCCTGGTACCACAAAAAAAAAAAAATAGCCTTTCTGAGGTCTGCTAATTTAGAATTACAGGGTCAACTTTTTCCTCTCCTGTGGACAGTTCTTCCTGCTATCTATAAGGAGATTTTTGGTGTATATTTTCATTTTAAAAAGGAAATCTGTAATCACCATGAGTGAGGGACACGGAGTGTGGTGTTTCCTCATCTTTGATGGGTGCTTTTCTTGATTCTTCCTACAAGGCAGATCTACAAAGAGTAGTGTCTTCTTTTTAAATACAGCCCACAATAGAAGTCCCTTGTGAAGATACCAGAGCTTCTGCCACCCCAGGTGCCTAAATGACCTTGTGGAACACGGCCACCCAACCCTCTCACCTTGCTGCCCATTAGACTTGACAGAAGACTGAAAGAAACCTTTATGGTGTGAACCCCCAAAGTTGAGAAGTTCATCTGTTATGGCAGCCAGCATTACCTTCATTGATGCATGTGATGACACATTCCTGCCTGCAGATTTTATCTCACCAGCCTGAACCTAATTTGAATGAAGGTTTAGGATGACATATAGTGTATGTGATGGTTGCTAGTCATGTCTCTCAACTCTAGTTTCATAAGGAGAAGGATCTCTCTTCTGAGACTTTCCCGTTACAAAATCCAAAATCGCCCACATCTAGACCACCTGCCAGGAAACCGCAAGAAAGACACCTCAGCTTTCATTTCCTGCTGTTAGAGAATGAAATGGTTTCTAGAAGTGACCTGGACACAGGAAATGCGATGAGGCCCCGGGTTTGGTGCTTGTTATAGGCTGAACTGTGTTCCCCAACATTCATGTCGAAGCCCTCGCCCCTAGCACTACCACAGATAGCTAAATTATGGAGATGCTGATAGGCAGTTAGGAAGAGAACAGGCCCAATAGAGTCAGAGCAGAGATGAGGCAAACCCAGCTGGTGGCCAAGGGCTGAGCTGATACAAATTGGGCCCCAAGATGGAGACAGAATGACTAGGCCTGCGAGCCTCCCAGGAGATAAAGGACAGTCCAGAGCAGTTCTAACTAGTACTGGCTGGTCCACTAAGCCTGAACAGTGTAACAAACACACAGACCGATGACCAAAAC